CCGCCCGCACGCCTCGGACGAGACCCGGCCCCGCGGCGGCGTGGCCCCCCGGCCGGCTGTCCCGAACCATCATCCTCGCTCGTGCCAAGGGCCCGCGGCCGCCGGCCGACCTTGGGCTGGGATCCAGGCATCCAGCCTGCGGGGAGCGTGGGGATGGTGAAAAAGCAGCCTGGCAGCCGGGCTGGGATCTGGGGGGAGCGAGGCGGGCGGTCTGGGGGTGCCAGGGCAAGAGACCCCCGGGACCAGCACGTGCGAGCGGGTTGCGGCGGCTGGCCGCTCGCTGCGGGGACTGGGATGCTCCGGCCCCGAGGCTCCCGGCCAGGGCACGCAGCCTGACGGTGGGGCCAGATCCTGCCCAGACCCCGGGCAGCCTGTGACTCGGGCTTGCACCAGCACCTCGAGGCCAGCGCCTGCCTTTGCTCTGCCGCTGCCCCTGGGGCAGGGCAGGGAACGGGACCTGTGATTTACAGGGGTGACGTGTTTTACTTAAGTCAAACAAAAGCCCAGTTTGTTTTGCGGGAGCGCAGACTTCCTGGGGGGGTCAGCCCAGACAAATGACTCCACTCCTGTTCGTTAAACATTCGTGGCCACGCCATCAGCTGGTGCTGGGGATGGCTTTCCTGGCTGAGCTGGGACAAACTTCTCCACTTCCCAGCCTCTGCAGCAGGAGCGATTTCCGATGTCCCCTGCCCCAGCAGAGCTGTGCCCCTGGCAGAGCCATGCCCCAGGGGTACCAGCTCCCCGTCACAGTGCCTTGCAAGTGTCCGAGGACAGTGGTTTGACCCACGCAGGCTGTGGTCCTCTCTTGTCGTGCACAGCTGTGGCTCAGCCCTGGGCCGGCACCCATGGGGAGCACAGGGAGCAGGCTGGGGGCAAGCGTCCTTCGTGCCAGCACCGCAGCGAGGGTGGCACAGGGGCTGCGTGGCACTGGAGGGGTGCAGGGCCGGAGGGGGGCTGCCCCTGGTGTGTTTGCCATGGGGATCAGCAGCGCAGGGCAGGGCAGAGCTGCTGTTGCTGAAGGACAGCCGTGGAGGTAGGGCTACCTGCAATCTGTAATGATTAGGAAGCTGTTTCCAGCCGGGGTTTATTGCCAATAAAGCCAGCTCAGCACAACTGCTGGGGCATTAACTCTTATCTGCCCGGCACGATAAGAGCCCTGGGCTTTGCCTTCAGGCCCGAGGAGAGCAAACACCCGTGGCAGGGCATGGCACTGGCCTGCACCGTGCCCTGTCACCTTGGGGACACAGCTGGCGTCCTGCGCGGTGGGACGCGCTGCCTGGCGTGTGCTCCCAAAGCCCCTGGCACCGGCTCCCTTCACCTGCCACCCACCGCACAGGGGCAAGCAGGGGGAGCCTGGCCGCAGGGGCGAAGGCTCCGTACCCAAACTCCTGAGTGGTTCAGCTGTACAAAAGCGGCATCCTGCTTAATTAAAAGCAGACCTGCTGTAATGAGCCTGCCAGCACACCAGCATGGCTCGGGCAGCTCTGCTAGAACAGAGGCTGGGACTCAGCCTCACTGCGGGACTGGGAGCCAGGACTGGGTCACCCTGTAACCCCCTGCAAAGCCAGGTCTCCCTTTGTGTCCTCCCAGACCCCTGAGGAAACACAGCCTGCCTCCAATCCAGCTTGCTGCTGCTTAACACCTCACCAAAAGTCATCCCTAAAATAGCCCCCGGAGCAGTGCGTCCGCTGAGTCCTTCCCCCCAAGCGGGGTCCCACGCCATCCCCGGGCTGTCGGCTCCGATCGCACTGCCCAGCCGCGCCAGCACCGGGACTGCCAGCGAACGTGCTCACCCTGCAAGGGAGACGTCTGCCGAGGCAGCACCAGGAGGAGGCTGCTCTCTCCTTTGGGTCCTCGGGGACCGGGACGGCACACGCCACCCTGGATGTGGGCACACCAGGGTGCCTCGCAA